TCAGATATTTGAAGACTCTTGATATCTACATCCTGCATACAATATAATACAATAAATTTAGTCTTCAAAATGATCATTTTTCACTGATATTGGAGTCGTTCTTGGTAAAAGATGAAATGTATGTAAACAAAGTATTACAAAATACATGAATTTATTTATTTATTTATTCGACAGCAAAGCCAATTCACAAAAACATATTTAACAAAGTGTGAGGAACTACTAAGTATGTTTGAAAGCTCCTGTCTGATGTATACATTACAATTTACAATTTTACAAAACATTTAGCAAAGTGTGAAATGAAAAATATTAATAAATCTTATGCCTAGTGACTATATTACTAAAAGATGACACAATTCTGGTACTTACAAAAAAAAAAGATGTAACAAATCTGGTACTTACAAAGAAAATGGTAAGGTAAAGAATTGCTTCGAAAACGCTATAGCCTTTTATATATTAAATAGATCTAAGTTATTATGATATTGATTTCCCAGCTTTAGAATACGATGAATCGGACTGTTCAAAGCATAATTGGTATGGAAAAATTCATATGAAAAATGTCAGTGTTTCTCGTAAATTTTTGTTTGATATGGAAAGTTAATAGTTGAAGTAGTTCTGGGCAGTTTATCCNACCGATTTTTGTGACCTTTGACCTTGAAATTTAATAGTTGCTTACACCCTACCATATGTAGGTTTTGAGACAAATTTTAGGGTGTCAATATACAAGTATTTACAGACTTACAGCTGGGTATCTCGAATTCCCAGATTCTTACTTAATTTAAGCTTATATGACTGGATTAAGTGGTGATAATCACAACTATAATACAAGACACGGTACACGGTAAAAGAAAAGAGAAATGAAACTTTTTCTTTTTTTTATCACTTTTATTTGTAACGAACGTTACTGTAGTTTGGTCCTATATGGACGTCCTATATGGATAAAAGTTTATTGTAGAAGTTTGAGAATGTCTATACAGGACGAAACTGCAGAATATTACTTTATAATTTTTACTATTATTCAAGTTTTTATATAATACATGTGCTGTGTTCTCTTTTTTTGATTGTTCCAATATCATTTGAATTGTGATCTGAGACTAGAATACAACTATTATTATTATTACAGTTTAAGTGAATAAATATGATTGTAGGCGAAAATATAAACAATTTATAGAACTTTGTTTAAAAAGTTCTCACAAACATTTTTTGTTGGCTTGTGTTATTATTAAATAATATACAGTGTCACACATAAAGTCCGCATCAAATGGGATTTGAAGTGGACGTTACAATGCGGTACGCGAAGTGATCTAGTAAAACGATAGACATCAAAATAATAGTTGAAATTTTCAGTTGAAGTGTTTGTTGTATTTAAAGTAAAATAAAGTTAAGTTTGATTATTCAGTGTAGTCAATTATTGGTGAACCCACGGGTGAAAACGTAATATTTGGTGTCAGAAGTGGGATCCCGTCTAGAAAACTGTGCGAGAATGGATTGCCAAAGGAGTTAGGCCGGAATGGCAAGATATTTCCAAGAACGGCCAGCAGGAAAAGGGTTACTGGCGAATGTGGATATTGAGGATTGATGTAGTATTTAAATATTTACTCTGGTTTCGCTACGCCCAACGATTTTATTATTTTTCATCTGATCAATACCGTAGATTGCTAACGAGAGTGGCTTGATGACTGCTACCTAGGATCTTTGGAATTATTTTTCAGTGTCAAGTACATATTTCAATAAAACCGTTCAACATTAAACATTTTTTTACTTATTTTATTTTCCCGAACGAGGACAAAAAGCCGAATGGCCGTATAGCGCAATCAATCAGTTGAAAGCCTTCGAATCTGAAAGCGTATCTAATTTCACAGTTCTCCCGGACTATGAATGTTTATCAAGTGGTCGATGTAAAAATCAAGCGGAACCACTCTGACTAAGCTGCAGACCCTCGAAGGCATCAGCAAAGCCGAAGATCAGCGAATTATCTGGTGAAGTGTTGCACTAATTGATTTCAAGTCTCGCCGCTGTTGATGCCTCCGGTATTCATTACGAATATTACAAATTAGCTGAGCCAGTTCAGCACTGCACGATGGTCCCATAAACACTCCTCCAGGATCGAACTTTGATTAATCGGTTATAAGGGGTACTATTAATTCAACTTCGTGAATATCAGGAATTTAGAATAAGACATTTCGTGGATATCTTCATCTAAAAGGTCCAAAATCTTCCCAGTAAACATTTATTTCTGTACGAGGTCTGTTCTCATTTTTCTCAAAGTAGTCCTTCTCAGATATAATACACTTATGCCAGCATTTTTTCCAATCCTAGAATCAGGAATGCCGGAAATTACTTTTCTAGTCTAATCAACAAGTTCAAAAACATGAAAAATAGAGATAAAGGTTCTAAAAATATGAGCGATAGCTCATTCGATTCGGAATCACCTCTAGAAAAATGTTTTTGAAGGATTTTGGTGCAGGTAAAAAATT